CGTTAGTATTACTACGCGTCGAATTACCACGCGTCGTATCACCACGCGTTAGTACTCCTACGCGTCGAATCACCACGCGTTAGTACTACTACGCATGGAACTACCACGCGTTAATATCGCTACGTTCCAAGTTACCATATATCATAGTACCACATATTGTACATATTGCAATATAAGTAATATTTATTTATCTATTTGAAGCTTGGTGCTGAAAGTGACAATAAATTATTCGTTAACGTTCTTAATATGCAGTGGTAAATTTATGAAGAACTATTCTTGAGGTAATTAAGAATGCTCTAGTTTCCATGTTTATAACGAACCTAATAAATCCAGCAGCAGTAAGACCTCTCCATAATACACTCATAAATTTAATAATGTAAAAATTATCATCTTGATATTATTTTATAATAAACCTCTATGACCCACTTGCCAAAATATTTGAATTCCTATTCACAGAAATACTTTGAAAAGATTGGAAGCAATATTTGAACTCTATCGATAGACGCTGCACGCTTGCAGAAGATTCGATCGAGAGAAGTGACATTAATTGCATGTCATAATTAAATTCCCCCCGGAAATATCCAGTCACATTGACAGGGACACTGTCGATTCGGATCGTAAAACCTCTAATTATGATCGTTTAACTCGAGAGAAGACAACAGGTTGCAAAAAGATAATGAACAAAGGAGAGTGCTTGTAATTCTGCTGGCACATCCTGACGTCCCAGCTCATTAGAAAACGAACGTGGTCGAATTCGTAGTTGCGGAACAAAGCGGGTTTATTGGTTGGCAATCTTGACCAATTCTGCCAAAAGCTGTAAACAACTATGGGGAACGCCTGGGCAACTACGTAGACAAGTTGTACTGCAACAAGCGTCTCAAAATGTGAAGAGTATTTGGCACGTATCTGAGGGTTGCAAACGCCTAAACGAATGATTCTAATGATTTTAATGATTTTAATTATTACTGAAACTAATTATGACCTAGTAATTCTTAATAATAAAGTCTATCGACTGTTCAAGTCTTTTGTTCTATAAACTTTGATTGATTGACTTGTTCCATAAACTTTGTTTGATTTATTCTATGAGGGCCTGCTATGATCATTGGTCCTCTATAAACTTTGAAATTAATTTTCTACAGTAATTGTATTTCCATAAAATTTAAGTAGAGATATCATTATAATTATTATGTATTAATATTTATAAATTAATTGTTATATGAAGTTTCTTAGGCAACAACCATTAAGGATGAACGAAGTGCGGAAATTATATTATTAAAAATCCGCAAAAGAGCAGGTATAATCGAATTGGTTATAAATAGTTATGATATAACAGAAGCCCAGTTTAAAAAATTCACAGCTCCGACTACGTCATCGAGTAACATTGATTTAACCAACAGATTTAGCAAACTCCGATTCGTGCTCGAATTGAAAGCCGCGGACGTACGTAAAATGGCCACTTTCAATGCTCTCGGAAGAATGCGAATATTTCATGAATCTTGAAAATAGCTGCACTTCAGACAAGGAAACATACTGTCCAATTTTTATGAATTTTGGATATATTAAGCAGGTGAACAGATACGTATTCTTTTTATAGTCGTTCAATCGCAAGTTTTGGGCGCTAAAATCACCCTCTGAAGTTTCAACAAAAAATGGTATCTAAAAAGCTGTCATATGAGAAAACTCAGGGGAAAGTTTCATGGTTTAAGATAAAATAAAAAGTCATAGATTTTGTGAAATTTTTTTGTAACTGAAGGATTGTTAGTTTAAATTTAAGTGACAACAAAAGAAAATTTTTTTTCTGAATTTAATGATATATAATTTGATGATTTCACGATTTGAGACTTGTACGTTTTTAATTTAATTTGTTAATTTCGTAAATTTTCATACATTAGAGCGCGCGAATCCGCACGAGATACATGTGTAGACACACAGTCGGCTATTATTGTGGTACACATTTATTAATCCTATTTTCGCCGCATTCCGTGGCACGCCTGTCTAATGGTATTGAACCATTCGGGGATTAGAATGACAGATTTATTATTACATACTCATATACGTATTTTTACACGTACGAAGATCTGCTCACGATAGCAAGTAACAAAATTATCCAAATCATTTACGATGAAAATTAACATAGTTTATGGTGCGTAAATGTATAGAGGTACAAAATATACATTCGTGACTTAAGACACAGTCTTACTGCTTCCAACATTTTATGAATAAACTTCATTCATAAACCACGCCACATAATTGTGACATTACACAATTTCATTTGAGTACAGAACCGTCAAAAAGATTAAATATTCAGCAAGAAATGTTATCTGTGCAATATTTTATCAGTTCGATTCGCGAATATAGTTCATATAGGTCACGCTTTCTTCGCTTTCTTGTTTTCAAAACGAAACGATAACGACTCGCAGATTCTCGAAACATCGGTACATAATTTCCAATCGTAGTGTTCGAATTGTGAGGATATAGCAGTGAGAATCGGCGAAAGTACTCAGCGGGATGTGGTCGTTAACGCAGCGAATACTCGAACTACGCCTTCGACGCCTCATCTGTTTTTACGCTTGCATTATCCGTTCATCTCGTCACGAAGTTTTATTTGTCGGATCGGCTCGTGCCGGTTGAAACGCCTTCCACGAACAGCAGGTACCGGGAAAAGAGACGACAGGTAGAATAGGGCTCGACAAGGGTGGCCACGCAAAAATTGACCGGCAATAAAGCGGACCAGCCCTTTTTAACGGCTGAGAAAATTCCTCGACCTGATCTATGTCCTCGAAGGTGATGGCCTATCGCCTTCCGCTTGTTCCTCTGCCTCGGAAGCACTTCCACGAGAACAGGTAACTAGCCCCGATGTTCGACGCGATTGAAGCGTTCGTGAAATATTCATGCCGCTTCGAACAAGGGATTGCGAAGAAGATACGATCGCTGCGGTTAGGCGAAGATTCTGATGCTCGGTTTACGCGGAAATGGTAATCCAACCGAGATACCAAGCCTTTCCTGTTGTTTCTCCACTGGGACTTCCGGATTTCCGAATTTTGGGAACTGGGACTCAAAGACTTTTGCACTCTAGAAACCTAGTTTACTGGAGGACATCAAAATTTTTAGGACAGTAGGACTTCAGAAATTTGAAACTTTGGGGATTTGAAAAATTTTGCAATTTTTTGAAAGTTTGAAAAGTTGAACTTCTAAAAGTTTGAAAATTTCAGCTTGTAAAAATTTGGAAATTCATAACTTTGGAACTTTTAAACATTTAGGTCTCTGTAGGACTTGGAAGTTTAAAAATTTGACAATTTTTTAATAAAAAATTTACGAACCTCAATGCTCCCATAATTATTATATTATAACCGAATTTCCCCTAAAATGTCACAAAAATAATTTTTCTGTAAGTAAGCCTAAATGTTATAATACTAATAAGTGTAAAAAGATATGTCTAAGCTTGAAAGCAAAATTTAAACAAAATAGAAATACAAGAATAAGCAATTCGATCGTGTATTAAAATATTCACGCGTTTATGAGTTCTTTCATGAACGAGCAAGCTCTCCGTACGTTTTCTGTGCATTATACGAGGACGAGGATCGCTAGCAACTTTCGGGCAAGTTTCTGAAGCGGCAAACAGCAACGGCCCGAAATCCGTACAATACGATCCAAAAGGTGTATAAGTTTCTTCGGGAACTAAGAGGATGCAGTCACGAATAAGTGCGATCCTGTTCAAGGCGAGATCCAGCTTGCGCCACAGTTAACTTCGTGACGTTAACAGGAGGTATTAATTAGGACGCGAGGAACTTTGGATAATTCGACGAGTAAAAAATTCACTTGGTTTCCCGCTAAATTCAACACCCAGGAAATTCGAATATCTCGTTATAAAATTAACGGGATAGAAGTTCGGATGAAACGCTTTTGAAATCGTAATCAATCACGTTTGGTAGCACGTTTTGACTCCGATTTAACTCCCATTTTCCCCTAGTTTTACTTTCAAATGCATATATAGCACATTTCATGCATGTGACCTAAATATTACGCGAGGAGCTTGGAAAATTTATCATTCGTTCTCCGGCTATAGAAGTGCGCTTTTCAAATTCTGATTTTCGGTAACCCACATTCCTGACCTCAAACTTCCAGCATAAACACATTCTGCATATGAACGGGCAAAGGCACTGTAAGTCATCTAATTCCCGTTGCCTATTCTAGCGATTCTACATGTTCAAACAGAATACCTACGAATCAGTTTGCGTTCGATAAACAGTACAGATTGTATCAACACGCGTGAGTCAATATTTTAAATAATTTGCGCCGATTTTGACTAGATGATGTTCAGATGTATATTTTTCTAACTATGAATCGTTGTTAAAATATAATAACACTATTACATTTAATAAGATTTAATGACATTATCAGAAGTTGAAGAAACGAAGATCGGTCGCTAAATTTTATACAGAAGAGATAGCTCGAATCAATTTCCCAGCTATCCACTTAAACTTTATCAGTGTAAAGAAGAGCCGTGTTCAAAGGGTCTCAGGTGTCCGAGGAAAAGGTTAAGTTCTGTCCGTAAAAGTTCCGGAGGGCCGAAATCGACATTGCGGGGGTCGCGTGCACCGACTGACCTCATTCCCTCTTGCAGCAACGAGAGTCACGTGTTCGTTAATTTCTCCAGCACGAATAAGGACGAAGGACACAGCGTATGAATCCCGTGAGAGGGTATTCAAAAAGCGTACATCTCGTCGCAAGACCTAGACGAAGAGTAACGAGGAAAAGACGCGCCATTGGCAGATTAAAGCGTCCTCATCAGACTTTGATCTTCGGGCAAGAAAAAGCGAAGACGAGCTCGTCGCGCGGCAAAGGGTGACGAACTCCCCGAAGAACGGCCGGTTGTCAACTGGCGCGTAACAGCGACAATCGAGCGCAGGAAATAAAACGGACGTCAAAAAGACATCGGTGTCAAAAGAGGGTGTACACCGGAAACACTCCAATCGGGCATAGGACAAAAGACTACTCACGAAGACGAAGTAAGACTTCCTCATGATCCTGTCGGTCGATCGGCAAGTTGGTCCGATTCTTCTATCGGCGAATTTCTCCACTCGATCCTAATCTGATTCGTCAGAGATGTTCGACTTGCCTCCGCGTACAGGCTGCGCCCTGCAGAGAAGGGCGCATCGAGGACCTGGTCCGACCCTTCTTCGCGTCGCGGTGTCTCACTTTGCATTTACATAGGTCACACTTTTCACCCTCCTTCGCGGTGCGCTGCACGCATCGCCACTGTACAACCGTGTCTCCCTGGCCACGTGATCTTTTACGGGGAAATGTTGAATCGAACGGGGTGGAAAACTCGGGCACGGGGAGCACGTCACGGTAGAACGGAACGAAAACGCGAGCAAACGACCTCGTGGTGCGTCAGCCTCGACGGTCGACGACGATCTACGAGGGATGCGAGCAAACCAATGGCACACCGAACCACGCACGTGTCCACGAAGAGCTAGCCGATGTCGTCGGGCCGAAGTGCGCCGCACGAGTGTCGGCCTTAACGTCTCGAAAGCGCTTGACGTTGGCGCCCGTGTGGCTAGGGTGGGGAATGGAGGGGTTCGCGGAGAAACACGCTCTGCCCTTCCCCCCTTCTGCCCTAACCATCGCTAACCCCCTCGTACACCCCCACCCCCGTCGCTGCTCAAACTTCTCTCTCTCTGTTTCGCGCGCTCTCACCCCCAACCCCACGTCCACCCACATCGCGACGAGGCCGAGGTTGGAATAAAGTGCTGCCGTAGGGGTGGTTTGGCTGCTCGACCAAGAAGGGGCAGAAGAGAAAGACGAGCCGATCGAAGCCCCGCAGCCATGGAACGAGACCGATAACACCAGATACTCAACGTTTCGCGGGCCAACTTCGACCCGTAGATTGTTATGAGAACTTTTTTATGGTGTTGTTTAATCAGTCTTGTTTGCTCCGGGGCGCTGGGGTAAGGTTTAGGGTTAATTGTTTGCGCTGTTTGGATTGGCTTGCAGTTATTTGGGAACGCGGAAGTCTGAGGTCTTTTGGGGGTTTATGCGGTTGCGATTTATTGGGAAATTTATCTGAAATTTGGACGTTGATGATGTGTAGTTTAACAAAGTTTTGGAATAATTCACTGCAAAGGGTGTAATCGTAATGGAAAGTATTTTGCACAGGGATAGACACAAAAAAAAGAATCACTACGTTATTTCTATGGATTACGTAACTTTGTGAATTGTCAAATTTTTAAGTTCTCAAAATATAAATTTCAAAATCCAAAAATTCCAAGATCCCATTCTTTACATTACATAGTCCTAAGAGTCCAAAATCGTGCGCCGAGGAAGGCACTGAGTTGCCTCGCGTTATATCGCCTTACAGTCAAAAAGCTCTAAAGACTTCTCCGACAAGTGGAACGTTAAGTAAAGAGCAACAATTTTACAGTAGCACGATAAACAATAGCAAATTCCGTCGCGTGATCTCGTTTAACCGAGTAAAAAGCTGAACGCAAGCCCAGCACGTTCGTCGAATCCGTAGGTGGTAAAATGACACGGTAGTTTCAATTGGAATTTCGCATTACAACGCGCGTCTCCTCCCCAAAAAAACGCCGAACAGTTTGTTGGGTTATTCGTATCGAATACCGCTGGCTACCGGTCGCACGCATCATTTCTCATGTACTGCAGCCTGCACGCAGAACAAATAGACGTTCGATTGAACGCCGGCACGCACACGCGTACCGAATCGAATCGGGTCAACGTTTCGATTAACGTTCATCAAACAACGAACGCATCGCGTACACGACAGTAATCATTTCTGCGCTGACCGATTTTTTGACGCATTGACAAGCTTTCAAATAATAGCCCCGGATACACCGGCGTTACCCGTTGGATTTTCAATATCGATAAATCTCCATCGTCGGCCCGCCTCAATCTCCGTCACCGGAATCCATCTTTTCCCGGAGCGTTTCACAAAAGATATTTCCTTGGTGAATCAGGAAATTCGTCGAGCTATAAAATTCTGTCCGTGGACCCTTCCACGGATATTTACAGCCGCTTTTTCTCATCCACCTGTCGCGTAATGTCAATAAGTATCGAACGACTTGTTTAGCCACGCTTTCTCTACACTTTCACGCGCACGTAAATGTTACGGGGTTCGTTTCGGTTCGAATGGTAACTATTTAGATGTCGACAGTAACAGGGATATGTTACGTTGGACTGCATTTTTAATCGATATATTTGAGAACTGTGGCAACCAGTGCGAATCACCACGCGTTAGTACTACTACGAGTCGAATTACCACGCGTTAGTACTGCTACGCGTCGAATCACCACGCGTTAGTACTACTACGCCTCGAATTACCACGCGTTAGTACTGCTACGTGTCGAATCACCACGCGTTAGTACTGCTACGCGTCGAATTACCACACGTTAGTACTACTACACGTCAAATTTCCACGTATCAAATTACCACGCGTCGAATCTCCACGCATCAAATTACAACGTATTGAATTACCACGTATCGAATTACCATGCGTCGGATCTCTACGCATCAAATTACAACGTATTAAATTGCCACGTATCGAATTACCACGCGTCGGATCTCTACGCATCAAATTACAACGTATTAAATTACTACGTATCGTATTACCGCATGTCGAATTACCACGCGCCGAATCACCACGCGTTAGTACTACTCCGAGTCGAATTACCACGCGTCAATATCGCTACGTTCCAAGCTACCATGTATTACACTACCACATATTGTACATATTGTAATCATTACGTAATTCATTCTACAGAAATTAAATGCACTCATGGTGGTGAGAGATCATTAGAAAGTTACATTGTTTAGTTAGTATCAATATATTTGGAATGTAATATTTTCCTTTAATTCAAACAGGGGCATGAAATATATCTAATGGGGTTGTTAACTTGCACATCTTAAGCAACCTTCTAGGTTGTGTCTTAAAAATTTTCCTTCTTAACAAACATACTCCGCCTCATATCTTTGCCATAAAATTTCTTGAGTACATTATTAAAAATGTACAAATTGTAGCATAGAGGACTAGAAACGTAATCCTCTTGCAGATAAATAATTTTTATTTTCTAACTCAGGGAGCAACTTAAGAACTTAAAGATAGAATCAGAGAGTAGGAATTTATTTGGCCGATTACCCAAAAGCACGAAATTATTTAGCCTAAAAGATTAAAATTGCGCGATAGTGTGTTCAAAAACCAAAAGAAAAGGATTGTCGTAAATTTGATTATCCTAGAAGGGATCTCACAGAGGACTGTAGTAAGGAAAACAGATTTCGATTTCCATATCGACCCCAATCGTCTCGTTATTTCAAACTAACTGGCCGTCGTTGGAGAAAAAAGGGATACCACTTGGATCGTATCGATGCTCGAAACTGCATCGAATCGATAGGTATATAACGCATGCTCGAGTTTCCGCAGGACGTGTGCTCGATACAAGACAAGGTCGTGCACGACATACTGGTAGACGAGATCCGTATACCGCTTCGGATAAGCCGTATTCGGACGATCACCGTTTTAGATAAACGGTACCCGGATAAACTGGATCCTCTCCGCATCTTAAATCGAGCCTGCACTTCGTGTCCATCGATGTCCTTTTTTCATTTTGCTTTCTCTTATTACTCTTACTACGTCAAGATTCGTGTACAATCTTCTGATCTCTTTTGATAATTAAGGTGTTAACTTTATTTTGACGAGTCTGATTCAGGATCAATTTTACTGGGATTTTGAATATGTAACTTGGAGTTTAAGGCCAGTTTGCAAAGATTGACACCAAATTGAATTTTTTGTCTGTTCTAATATTGGAGCTGTGATTCTAACGCACTTGAGAAATAAATCATAGACCAAGGGGTTAATCGTCGAGTCTCGTATTTGAATGACATATGAATTCGTACCAGAATCGAGCATTTGTGGGATAATAAACAAATTGGTTCGGTAAGGTTAAGGTTTATAGAGCTTGTCAACATATGGATGTGGTCGATGGGAAAATTTAATTTGATACAAGCACATAACAAGTATAAATAATTAGATATCTTATTTGATCTCAGATAAGATTTCTTATACAATGTTAAAAGATCTATCCTAATAATTTTTAAAAATAAAATTGGTTCGCTTTAAAATGATTTGAAGAAGTAAAATTTACCTGACATTCATTTCAAAAATAATTAATAAATAATGAATAATTAATAAATGATGAAACAATGCAATTGTACGATAATTGATTCTTGTATAACAAAGTCGTGAGAATAATGAAGAAAATTTACATATGAAATGAACATATCGAATAAAGGAAATCTTCGTAGTCTGTTGCGATAATTAACACGATGTAATTGAATAACTTCGATATCTGACCCTGTGCGACGTAATCGTGATAATTTATGGACGACAGTGCAACAGCGCGTTGATTATTTGATAATACAGTTCGGTGATCAATCATTAAGCTGTAATTAAATAGCTACTGTTGATATATGTAATTAGCTGCACCCGGTTCATGCACTATTTACAACTGATCAGTCACAACCATTTCGTGTTGATTAATGTTTTTGAAATATTGATACACTCGTTTATTATTTTGCTTATTACGTTTCTACAATGGAACGTACTGTTCTGGATTCTTAAATTAATTCCCAAAATTTCCAAATTTTCCAAAATTCCTAAAATTCCTAAAATTCTTAAAATTCCTAAAATTACTAAAATTCCTGAAATTCCTGAAATTCCTAGTCCCAAAATTTCAAAAATTCCCAATATTCCTGAAATGTCAAAAATTCTCAAAATTTCCATATCTCCAAATTCCACAATTTCTAAGTGCCAAAATTCTCAAATACCAAAATTCTCAAATACCAAAATTCCCAAATACCAAAATTCCCAAATCCCCAAATTTCTAAGTTACTAATTTTCTAAATTCCTAAATTCCCAAAGTCCCAAACTTCCAAATTCCAAAATTTTTGAATCCCAAAATTCTCAAATCCCAAAATTCCCAAAGTCTCAAACTTCCAAATTTCAAAATTCCCAAAGTCTCAAATTTCCAAATTTCCAAATTTCCAAATTTCCAAATCCCAAAATTCCCAAAGTCCCAAACTTCCAAATCTCAAAATTCCCTAAATTCCCTAAATTCCCAAAGTTCCCAAAATTCCAATATCCCAAATTAAAAAATTCCCAAACACATCTCCCATGAGCACCTCTATTTCCAATAAATATCACTCTAAATTAATCAGAGATCACAATAGCAATGCTATTAAATTTTCCAAGGAGTCGAGTGCGGTCGTCATTTTCATCACCGAGCGTGGAAATCAAAGTGGCGGATCCTTTGACGTCCCCCACGTTAAATCCATGGCATCCCCTACTTCGACAGAGGATAAACGTTTAACGCGGACTAAGGGCGCCACCAATCTCGTAAAAAAACCCTCTTCCTCGTTCCAGCATATTTATTTCGATGAATGACAGCGTGTTCACGAAGTGTTAAGAGAGAAAGT